TCCAGTGGTGGCTGTCAAGCTCTTATCCTCTGGGAATCCTGTGGTAGATACTCTGGTGTTCCAAGCCTCAGATTATATTCGGGTAGGAATGCTTGATTCCTCCCCCTGGGTGGAGCACCTCCCAGTGGAATGATGTAACTTAATGAGTCATGCTGTGATGGTGATGGCCCATTAGCAGATGCTATCCCTTGGAGGGAGTTATAAGAGATATGTCATGGATGGGATAAAGAACACTGCCCCATCTGGTTTTATCAGCTTATGAAAATGGTGATGGAATACATACTTTTGGATACATCTTATGTTGTAACCTTAGACAGTAGTTGGTCTGAAGGTGTGCTGATCAGCTGCAGTCACCACTATTACACGTGTTTAATCAATGCCATATATTAGATCTATTTCAGTACTTATTACCATAATAGTAGATAGTGGATGTGATGACACTCTTTATCCTGCTTTCTGGAGAGGGGTGTCAGGTAATGGAGCCTGGCTGAGACCAACCAAATTGCAGAATTTGCTCTGTAAAATATGTGTATTCAAATCAAAAGTTTGACTGGGACTGTTAATTTTGTGCTAGCTTCCAGACTGTTAGTGCATCTGCCGAGGCAAGAGAAATCAGAAATTTGATGGGGAGATGGGAGTCTCATTAAATGGAAAAAAATTGCTCACTGTTGTTCAGAAGAACTTTAGGGCAGGAGTACAACATGGGCTGCACCATCTGTCTGGAAATCTCCTCTTTTATTTAATTTCTGCTTCTTTTGCCCAATACTGAATCACAGCTATTATCTTCTTTCAGCTTTTATAAGTACTGATCAGAGTGCAGAGGGTTTTCCTCATCTGCATACATAACGCCCCATGGAACAGAGAGAGGGCAGAGTTGGGAGGAGATTGTAAAGATTATAACCACTTCCACTGAGGTCCACTAAATGCAGGTAGCTCTGCTTGCAACCTGAGTACACTGAACTAAGAATCTGTATTAATTATATTCCTCAAAACAACTTAAATTAGTTTGGCTTGTCCGTATGCTTTGGTGGTGTCCTGATTCTTGGTGAAATAAGATCAAGGAATCTGCCCAGGAAATTAAGTTTTTAGGAGTAAAATGACAAGATGGATGTTGTCAGTTTCCAGAGGATGAAATCAACAAAATAGCAGCTATTTCCCCACCAGCCAGCAAGTAGGAAACACAGACTTTCCTAGGCACTGCGGTTTTTTGGAGGATCCATATTCCACAGTATAGTCAGATTGTAAGCCCTCTCTATCAGGTGGCATGGAAGGGGAATGATTTCAAGTGGGATCCTGGACAACAACAAGCTTTTGGACAAATTAAACAATAGATTGTTCATGCAGTAGCCCTTGGGCCAGTCAGGATGGGACAGGATATAAAAAGTGTGCTTTACACTGCAGCCAGGGAGAATGGACCTTCCTGCAGTCTCTCATGAGAAGTACCTGGAGAGACTCAAGGACAACCCCTGGGGTTCTGAAACCAGCAGTAGAAGGGATCCAAGGCTACGATCCTACACCCTGGCTGAAAAAGCATATCTGGCAGCTTATGAAGGGCATCAATCTGCTTCAGAAGTGAATGGCACCAATGTATAGCTCCTCCTGGCTGCCCAGCATGAGGCTGGATATTCAGAGGGAAAGTCCCTTCCACACTTCATGCCATTGATGCTACGTGGAGTAAGTGGGTTTTGCTTGATCACACAGAAGACTCAAATATTTAATCAAAATCACCAGAAGTCACCATGGACTGGTACAAAAGCAAATGTGGGGATGACTGGAATAATGGAAAAAAAGGCAATTGGCAGCACAGCAGGAAACACATCTGGACTTCTGAATTGTGGCAAGACATCTCTGCCTGGGTAGAGGAGTTGCTATAAGTTGCTGTTCAAGGACCTGAGTGCACTTGGTGGGTAATGCAGAGGGATGGGGAAACATGGTGTGTACCTCAAAGGGATTTTCTTTTTGGGTGAGAAGAGTGTGTAATGTTGAATTAAATAATACTGGTTGCTGAATGACACTGCCACTATATGCCATAACTACCAAGGAGAATGAGTATGGATGTTCCAGATACACCAGTTATGAGCTCCTCGTAGAGCCCACAGTCATGGACTAAGTGACCACAACAGACATCTTGGAGGGATGCCCGCTGACTATGGAAATGATGCTCGTGTTTGTGTGTATCTATATATGTATGTGTGTAAAGTTGGAAGGTGTAGGATTGGGGCATGATGTAGATGGCATAGAATAAAGGGTGCATAGCACTTGTTTTTTGACCAGGATGGAGTTAATTTTCTCACAGTGCCATGAAGGGTCAGAGCTGGAGCCCTGTGGGTATGCCTAGGTGATTGTTCTGTGCCACAGCCATCACCACAGGGGGCTGGAAATAAGGGAATCTTGTTTCCAAGAAAGCGGAGGGGGCTTCCAGTTGGGAAGGAAAACATGGGCACAGAGGGTCTGTGAATGGTTCATTGTCTCAGGGGCAGCATGGCACTAGGTTGATTTTTTGAGCACCTTTGTATGTAAATCACCTTCTTTATGCATATTTATGTTAATAATATTGTTGCTGTTGCTGTTAGTGTTCTAATCTTGTTGCTGTTTCCAGTAAATTGTTCTTAACCTGGGACAGCAGAAAACCACCTGTTGTGCTACCAGTCACTTCAAGAAGTAGTAAAATGAAACGTTAGGCAGGACAAGTCATTGTTGTTGCTCTTCTCCGGATGGCATTGATTTTTCTTTGTGACTGGTAAGGTTGCCATGGTGGTGTGATGCATTTATTAGTGAGCTAAATTAATTCATTTCAAACAGGATTGTTTAGTGAAGGCTGCCAGAGGTGAGTGATGACAAATGAATACTTTCAGATAGCAAAAATTCAGATGTGACATCTGGAAGTGTGACATTTGTGTGAGATCTTTCTTACTTTCTCACCTTTTTACATGGTGTTCAAATGTTTAATTTTCTTTGTTGAGTTTACAGATGGACCTCTCCATCTGGCATCAATTAGTACTTTACACTGTAAGCTGAACAGACTTTGGATTTTTTTCTTACTTTTTCAGGATTTATTTCTTTGATGCTCCTTAGTAAAAATGTTTCTTTTCTCACCCTTTTGTTTGACAGACAGGATTCTAAGCATACCTTTGGTTTTGATTTAGACAGTACTCCCTAAAGTCAGCTTCAACTGTAATTTTTTTCTCACCTTCATTATCCAAAAGTGGCAGCATTTCAGGATTAAGAGAAAAGATTTTAAAAGAAACTAACAGTGATGTGCTATGAAGTAGGTGCAGCGAAACTGCTGCTTTTGAGCACGTCATGAGAAGAACAGAAAAAAATGTCTTGAGATCTTATTGAAGTTACAGTTGCAACAACTCACAAGACATTGATGAGATATGCTGGTTGAGGATTCTCAGGCTGTTCATAGAGTTTTACTGAAAATCATTGCCAAGTTGCAGAAGCTTCCCTAATTCAGAATTCCGGGTTGATGCTGTTTCCCTCATCTGACCATAGAACAATTAGCGAATTTCAGAAAATTATTTCAACTCTCATTTTTGAAAGAAAACAGGAAGCCTGAAGGCTGTGTTTGTTCTTTCACTTTGTGAAGACTCTCTTGGAGAGATGCTACGTCTCCGTTTTCTGCCCGCCCCGTGAGTATAGGAGAAGAAATTTGGAGCAGGGAGTGGAAAGAATTAAAGTTTGCTAGTAAGAACTGAGTAGGAAAGAATAGGGGTCACTGGAAAGCTATATAAAGATGGAAAAAGTGATCCTAGAGCTTGGAAGATGATACAGCTACATGTGACGTAAGGCATGTGGGGATGTGTTGAAATGTGAAGCAGGCATTTCAAGATGATGCTTTTTAAGAAGGAGGAATAATTTCCACAGTGGAGCGCAGAAGCTGAGTTTAAATTAACATGACCAAAAAAAAAGACGTAACTGAATCAGAAAAGCATGTGGAGCACAACTTTCCTACAGCACTTATCTATTCTTTCTTGGCTTGGTAAGTGTTGCCTTTGAAAAAATGAACTTATGGCCAGGAAAGTTACTGGTATTGTCTCTGTAACTATAGCATGGCCTCAGTTTGAAAAATACCACTGAAGTTTGGAGCAATTTTTGGTATGTTTATTGGATGCTGATTACACTTTGCATGAGTAGATTTTTGCTATGGCTTGCAGAATAGGAAGTGATAGATGAAGACAGCAACGGGTGTCTCTCCAAAATCCTTTCTGTGATGACTAATTTGTGGGTTGTGTTGTATATGTCTGGTCTCACTAAGGGAAAAATTTAGCAGTAGTCTTAGTCTAGAATTTTTAAATGGGATTGATATCTTGGACTTTTACAGGAGTTTCTCACTTTTGTTTGCTTGTTTGTTTGCACACAAGAGTAGAAAAAGAAAAGAACATATCTGTGGCAGCTGGACTGACCTTGATAAACACAATAGCTATGGAGATAACTTCATTCTATTGAATCAGCTGATTAAATTTTACAGATAGGTATATTCATATGCTGCAAATCTATGACTGGAAAAAAGGGTGTCATGTTTCTAAGTCATAATGTGTAAGCTGTTTTTCTTAACAAAGAAGGAAAGTTCATGTGATCACTGAACTGAGGGATAAACGTGTCCTGAATTCCAGCAAGTAATTCTATGAGTATTCTTTTGTGGGGATTTTTATTTTTTCTTTTGTTGCAGGGGGAAAAAAGTCAACACAGTTGCAATGTTCTGTAGGTGACCATATTTCCTTGCAAAAGAAAAGCAGTCTATGTGCTAGCCTTCCTATTGATTTCAGTTTGTGTGAGTCTAGTTTGTGTTGTCAAGTGAATTTTTTTCCTGTTCTGGATCAAATTCCAGTATGGCTTTTGAAATTTCTCCTGAAAAAAAAAAAAATGTGAGTGGTCATGTCAGCAAGCAGAGCTGCACAAAGATTGGCTTTTCAGCAGCCCAGGGTCTTGCTGTTGACTGCCTACCCAGTTCTCTTATTTTTCTCAACAGGTTTTCTTTCTTTCTTTCCTGTTAGGAGTAAATATCAGTATGACTAGAGTCTGAGGAAGGGCTTCTGTGTTCCTAGCAAGAGCTTGCTGGTGCAGAGGAACAGTGCAAGGACACCAGGGGCATTTTGAGCTACCATGGATATCCCCACTGATTTGGTGCCATCATCCATGATGTCCCAGCCTGAGGTGATTGAGGTGAGTAGACCATGATGAAACTCTAGCAGGTGAACTGATTAAACATCTTTCTTATTTCCTCATTGAATCCTATCTTTTTCTCCTCTCTCATTTTGAGTCATCTGGGGAATTTTTTTGAACTAGTATATTAAAGACACTCATCACTTACTAAGAGTGTTGTTGTACTTTGACACATGACGTTGCTGTGTTATAGTAGTGTTTGCAGAATAAAATATATGGCAAAATATGATCTTTATTGACTTCATGTAGGTGATCACTGCACTACAACTTGATTTTTACTCTGTTTATTAAATACAGAATAGAGTCTGTAATGTGGATAAGTTGGAAAAATACCAAAGGAAATTTCAGGTTCAGTGTTCTTATCAGAAAAGTCTTAAGTGAAAAGCAGTAATTAATAACACATTTAGCATTACTAACACACTAATCTTGCTTTCATGAAACTACTGTGTGTTTGACTCATTTATAAAAGTGATTTCTTAGCTTCATGTGCTGAACACCAAGTACTTGAGTGTTCTGATAAAGTAAAAATTACAAACAGAAAAGGAGGTGCTCATAACAGTCAAGATTTCATTTCAGAAAAGCAGTTTCAAAGTCCTTTTGACTTCACAGAGACTGAAGTGTCTGTTACAACTTAAAACGTATAAGGATGAGACTTTTACAGAAAAAGGCACCATAATAATTAAGATAGATATCAGAAAATTGAACATCCAATATTTATTTTGCTTATTTTTTGTTATTCTTGTTTGCTGTAGGTTCTTTGGCTCAGGAGACTATATCTCTCAGCAATATGCTCTGGGAAGTGTTATATTTCAAAGATCCCTAGATTCTGTGAATTTAGGGTAAAACATGTCCATTACTGGGTGATGATATGAAATGAGATAAATCCAAAGTCTGGTTTTGAGAAGCTTCCTAACGCTACTATTCCTCCTGTGTTTGAGATGGAGAATTAGTGTATTTTGTTGCTTTTTGAGTCTCTGTTAAGATTCCAGAAGAATTTTGTTTCTTTACAGCACAGCAGAATACCTGGCAGGAGGTGAATGCTGCATACTTGTGCCCCAGGCTGCATAGCTACTTCCAGACTCCTCTCCCTTTTGGGGAAAGATTTCTGCAGGCCATCACCACACATTTGCACCCCTGTCTTTGTGGGTTGCCTCTTCAGAGCCCTCTTTGTGTATGACTGCAGTGGGTCGACTGTGGCTGAGCACCAGCTGCCCATCAAGCTGCTCTATCAATCCCCTTCCCAGTGGAACAGGGAAGAGATAAATAATATGGAAAATAACTTGAAGATTGAGATAAGGCAAGAAAAAAGTGAAAGTTTGTGTGTGTATAAGTGAAGGGAAAAATAAAATAATCTCTGCTTCCCGTCAGTGAGTGATGCTCAGCCACTTCCCAGGAAGCAGGGCTTCAGTATGTCAAGTGGCTGCTCTGAAGGCAAACACTATAAAATAACTAATGCTTCCCATTCCTCCTCCTGCTCTCCCTCAGCTTTTGTATCTGAGCTGACATCATATGCCACGGAATTTTACTTTGGTCAGTTTGGCTCAGCTGGTCTGGTTTCGTCCCCTCCCAGGATCTTGCCCAGCCCCAGCCCCCTTGAAGGAGGAAGGAATGTTGGAGAGACAGCGCTGATGCTGTGCCAGCGCTGCTCAGCAATAGCCAAAACACTGGTGTGTTACCAGCACCTTTCCAGCCATCGATGCAAAGTGCAGCAAGGTGAGGGCTGCTGTGGGGGAAATGAACTCCAGCTCAGCCAGACACAATATAATATCCACCCCTTATTCCATACCATTTCTGTCACACTTGGATCCCACATAATTCATGCATCATCTGACTGTTCCTTTGTATTTATTTCTCATTATTTGAACCCTTTCTTACCCACACGTACAACTTAAACTACATCCCTAAACCATCTCTCTACAAAACATACATTTTCATTAACTAGGGTCCCCTGCTCCTTCACAGAGAGATATTATTTTCCTGTTTCATGGGCTTCCTTCATCCCTCCAGATCTCCAGTCCACCAGGCTGAGTGATCAGGACAGCAGAAGTGGCATACCTGACCATTGGCCACCAACACCCATCTTGGGTTGTCACCTCCTTACATTCTCCTTGCTCCTCACAAAATTCATTCTTCATCAGTTCATGTCACTCCTGCTACTTTACTTCCTGCAACATACAATTTACACCACAGTATAGTTTTCCCCCAGCATTAAATCTCCTTGAGGCACACACCATCCTTCAGCATTACCCACCAAGTACACCTAGGTCAGGTCCTTGGGCAAAGACAATCCCACAAATGGATTTGTCTTAGTGGGAGGAAAAACCCACACTGACTTCCCCAGCTGCTTCCCTGTGTAGTGCAGGGACCATATCTCCTCCCACAGTGTGAAGGGATTTTGTTTGGGTAGGAGCAGATCCCCCTAGTGTTAACCAGCCAAATGGCCTCTGTTAAATTTGCATCCCAGTGCTTCCATGCCCCATTACCTAATCCTCTTAACATGGTCGTCTTCAGCAGTCCATTATTCCTCTGAGTCTTCCCAGAGGCTCATGGGTGGTAAGGGGTGTTATATATCCACTCAATGCTGTGTTTCTTTGACCAGAGCCTCTTCGTGAGGTTATTTTGAAAATTAGTCCCATTGTCTGGTTCGATTCCCTGTGGCATACTGCTACAAAATGTGTCTCTCAAGGCCTGAGATGGTGTTCCAAGCAGTGGCAATTGTTTACAGAGTATGTTTCCAGCCAGACAGTTGTTGCCTCTACCACGGTGAGTATGTAGCTCTTGCTTTGGTGTGTTTGTGGCAGTGGTCCAATGTAGTCAATTTGCCAACCCTCACCATATTGGAAACCCAGCCACCACCCTCTATTCCAGGGAGATTTCACTCATGTGGTTTGCTTGATAGCAGCATGCTTCATATTTGTGTGTACCTAAGGATTGTTGCTCAGGACAAATACCTTCTCAAAAGGAGAATAAGAACAGCTGTAGTGTGAGAATGAGCAGAAGAAAAGCTATCACTTGTAAAGGACTTGATGATCAGCATGGTCACTTTTATGTTGTATTGAATAAATGCACATATCCTGGGTCTGCAGGGAGTTTTCACTGAATAAATTCTGCCTGGACTTTATAGCACTAGGCCAAAGACTAGAAATAAATAGATTATTCTGGTCATTGATTAGTAATCTAGAGGTCTGTCTCTACTGTGAACGGAAACTGTGTTTCAATGAGATTTGACTTTGGAGCCAAAAAGAAATGCCCACAAGAAGCAAAGACTGGTATCTCAGTGCAGGAGATTATGGTAGAAAAAAGACCATTCTGTCATCCTCATGTTGTAAAAGTATGAAGAATAAATGCTTGCATGAATTCTCACAGATTTCAGTAAATCATTGTGGATATGATAGTTCATAAAAGTGTTCAATCATATATAAATAATAACATCTCCAGACAATCTGCTGGGAGACATCTCTGTGTTTCTGAGAGTAAGGAACACCTTTTTAACAGGCAAGGACATAGTGAGATCTGTATGTCAAGAGACAATCACTAGATTAAATTTAGAAGGAAAGCACTTTTCATACTTGGACTGCATGGGCTTTTGCCTTTCATGTTTGGAATTAATTTAGGATAGTTTAAAAAATAATGTTGATTACATTTTTTTTTTGCCCCCCAGAGGACATTATTCTGCCTTTCAATATTGAGGACATGCCACGGTGCACTGCAGAAGTAATTTAGTGGCTACTGTTTTAAGGATAGATTTTTTTTTTTAAACTTGGAAGTAACCTTGCATGCCTTTTGCATGAGCTAGATGGCATCTTATTTGCAAAAAGAAGAGTTTTGCTACGTTACTTTAAATTTGGGTTTTTTGTTTTTTTTAGTCCTTATCTTTAAACTTTCCTTTGGCATTGCCAGAATAGTTGGCTTCATTCACATTTGGTCAATTTGCACTCAAAAATAAATACTATCTATTTTGTATATCTATATATGTATATGTATGCATGTTTATACATTGTAGTGAAAAATGCACCTCTGCTTATCATTTAACTGCACCAGGCAAACAAGCTTATTTCCCCTGGGAGAGAATCTCAGAGATCTGAAAATGGCCTTTTTGTTAAGTCATAGCTCCTTCTGATAGTTTTCTGCTTGGGCTTCAATCTTACAACTGCTCATTGTGCCACCACAATAAGTTACTGTTAATTTAGTGGCAAATGGTGTTTTCCCAAGATTCATCCTCTGAGTCAGGTAACAAAAGGCTTAAATAGAAAGTTGTTGAAACTGGGTACCAGATGTGAAATTGCTAATACTGTCTTAAATATTTCTGCGGCTAGTATGTCAACACAGGACCAGCTTCTGATGCTTCCCTACAACCCTCAATTGAAGCAACACATTTGCCAGAGTCAAACTTGCCTCCCAACACACTAATTTATTCAAATCTCCCCTCTTCTTTCCCACCCCAATATCTTGTTACCAGGCACAAGAAGTGGTGATTAGGAGCATGGGCATCCTGGTCACATGCAAAGGTGAAGGATAAGTCAAGTTTCAAGGTAGCTTACCTGTCCGTAGCTGTGATCTGAAATAGAAAATAGTTAGGGGCAGCATTCACAGAACATCAAAGAAGTCAGTGAAACAAAAAATTCCCCAAATATGCTCTGAGCTTTTTGCCATGGAATTTCATTTTAAGGCAAAAAAGATCTCAAATTAATTACATAAATCACAATCTAGTGATTTCTGATTAGATAAGCTGTTCTGTTCTAAGAGAGAAATAAAATGTAACAGAACTTTTTGATTTTTAATTTGGAGATATTTTGTATACATGCTATGACTTCATACCTCAAATATGGATGAGTAAAATGATCTCACAGAAACCTGACTAGTCTGCTAATGCATTAAATAAAGTTAAATAATTCTGTAAGAAGCATTTAGCATCCAAGAGGGCTGTTTGAAAAAAAAAAAATCACAAGTGGTGACCCATACTGATGAAAGTATTCTCTCAAGTGATTAGTATTTTCTCT